GGCCAGGCAACAGAACGTTTATTACGGAAAATCAACACATATTTATAGATTTTGATGTACATTATTGTAGGTTAATGTTAGTAGAAAATACAGTCTGTTGATTGGTTGTTTCTCACACAAAGTTAACCTTGCATCTCTTGTGGCTGTGTCAGTTCATCTATATGCTAACTGTATCCGCCTGTCCATCTTGACCTTGACCTCAATTACTGTCAACCAATTTGGCTAGCAACCATCTCTCACTACAACATGACTAATATTTGATACATAAACATTGACCTCAATTACTGTCAACCAATTGGCTAGTAAACAGCTCTCACCACACTACCAATTCGTGGGCCATTGAATCAGGTCCCAGTGGCTGAATGGTAAACGAGCTAGCTTGCCTTGTAACCGGAAGGTCCTGGGTTCGAACCCCAGTTGGTGCGCATTGCCGAAGAGTCCCAAACTAGGATGAAACAGTTGTTCAGTACTCCCTGGTTTTCAATGGTTCTCTAACTGATATCAATCCGTGATCAACTCGTAAAAAACAAATCCAACCCTTACAAAACCAACGTTGTAGGCGGTGTTAAAACAAGATGTAACATCCTTAGGAAATTTGTGTAGGATATGCAGTTTTGAAACAGTAATCAATCAAAAACAATCAAAGCTAAATAGTTAATTTCAGCGCAGATTTTGTCATGAATCAACACCAATTAGAGAAATGTTGGGCGGAGCAGTAAGGATGTCAGGAATGCTGCCTGTGTGCTCTGCAGAGAGGGGTTAGAAAAGGTTGACCCTGGAGATTGTACATCCCGACTTATCTTGAGGCGTTCCATAGCCGGTTGTAAGATCTTAATATGAAGACAATACCAAAAGACACTTCAAACAGGTCATATATGACCAGCCTCAAGTAATTGTCCGAAGGGCTTTGCGGTTACACAATACTAATACCCCTTCCATTTCAGGTACCCCAGGGAAAAAATCAACCTTCACAGTGTGAGCAGCTGGGAAGTAATAACAGCCCACACACACCCGAAAGCACACAAAGCTCTCCTGATCATCAGTAAATCAGTCAGTCAGAGAGCACTGGAAAGAGGGCTACTCCTAGTTTGGGACGCGTCAGCAGTACGCGCTCATTACCCCCATAGAGAAAACAGGACTCAGAAACCTTCGAGTTAGGAGGCCAACCTGTTGACCAATCAGCCACTGGGTTGGAATTGAGTGTCGTGTATATTTTAACTTCCTTGCAACCGGTGCCAGTGATGATCAGTCACCTCACTCTGGCACGGTGCACCACACTGATCACGACTTCCTATTAGAACGTTAGAACACCACCTATGCAGTAGTCACTAATGAGCTGGGGATCGATATTCAAATTTTGAAATTTGTGGGGATTTCCATGCCCAGTGTTACTTGCTTCACCACAATCCTCTGACTGATGTTGAGTTGTGATAGAATCTGCATTGAAATCGATTCAAAGCCCTATGAAACGCATAATCTGTAAATAGTTTATTGTAGTTTATTCATAAGGCGGCTTGTTTAAATCGCTGGGCTACAGAAATTGCTCTCCATCAAAATACTTAATTTCATCATTGTTTTAATCGTCCAGTTATATCAAATGACCTCTTATACATGAAATTGCCGCTGATTTAACTTGCTTCCAAGTAAACGCTGTACAATGCTTCATCGAAATGAAGACATATCCTTCAGATTATTACTTCTGCATGTAAATCCTGTATGAAAAAAAAAGTATTTTGGAACTGGATATGCTGAAAATTTTTGTACCATATGTTCACATATTGTCTGAAATAAGGCTTTATTATTTTTATTATACTTGTGACTCCCAATTGATATATTTTTTTATTCCTTTACGTCCCCAGTAGTGGAACATAGGGCGGCTTCAAGCTAGAGTTATGAAGTTTCGGTAATAGCAGCGGTGTTTATTTTTACGGGATAGGGTTACTAGTGTCATTCATGCCCAATCTTCTCTCTTCACCATTCTTATTACTGGCTTAGCGAGGTAAAGGAGTGCGTCGTCCAGTGACCAGGGGTCGAACCCCGAACCACATGAGGCGTGGTTGGCGAGCATTCTACCTCTGTGCCACCGACGCTGTACCTCTTATTTACATGTTTGGGATCTTTGGACAGATGCTTCATGATTACTAACTTTAGGTCACTTTCTCGGCATTGGTTAGCAGTGGGATGCAGGACATGCATTTCGTCCTATCCCGGACTCACCAGCTGGATGTAGCTGCTGTTTTCCCATTGAGAACCGAATCCTATTCCTATCATCCTGGATTTCACTGGTAACCAAAATCGTAAATAAGACGGCTTAAAAATAATTGATTACATGAAAGAAGTTAAACCTGTGGTGTCTTGAACATGACGATGAATACATAGTGTGTTTATTCATGTAGAACGATTTCAGAAAACACACACACACACAAACAAGCAGTCTTATTGTTCTGACGGAGTAATACACTGGGGTTTGTGGTTGTCGTCATCTAACTTGACTACAGTGAGTGTTTCCAGAACACGACATTATCATCAACAATGATCACTTGAAAATATTATCTCCCCCCCCCCACACACACACACATAGATACACAAAAGTCAGACTGGGAAAAGTGATAACCGGGGATGACAACTCTGTGTTGGACAAAATACTTGCTAATTATTATATATTTACAAACTCTTAGAAAATTATGCCATAAATAAACAAATCGAAACTGTCCAATAAGGTTGTAATGACAGAAGACAAGGGTCAGGCAACAGATCTTTCATTGAGAAAATCAACAGATACTTATAGATTTTTATGTGCATTATTGTTAGCGAAGAAGCAACCTCTTCTGATTGGTTGTTTTGCTCACCAAAGGTTATTCTGTTTTGCATGTGACCGTCTCTCAGAAAGTTAAGCCATATTTCTGCGAATCATATTTCCACACTTTAACTCCGTTGTGATTGGCTGGTGATTTTCTTAAGGTTAAGCTTTGTTATTGTTTTTTATTTCTCATGACCCTCTGATTCGGGAATGTGAACATTGACGTAAATTGTTGTCTACAATTTTTGGCTTGTTCGCAGTCAGCTCTTACCACAAGGTTATCTATGTCAGTGTATATGCATAAAAACACGACTTCATGGTTAACAAAGAAGCTTGTCCCCTCCTAACACTAATCCTTTTCTTTCTGGCCATCTGATCTTTAGTTTATTTTTTATTCTCGACTGGGGGGGGGGACACAGCTGGAAGATAGATACTTTTTAGGTCTGTGTACTCTTCTTGCTATGCTGTTTATCGCGCTTGCAGTGTTTTGTCACATCAAAGGAGAAAAAGGAATTACCTATTCTGAATGTTGTAAGACTCTCCATAAACTGATTTCTCCTAATAACCTAAATAACGACTATAGTTGGCTGTTTCTCAGCTCAAACAACCAAACCAAACGACAAGATATGGTAGTAAGATTATAAGAGGAATAAGTGTGAATGGATACAAAGGATATGTGATAGGATGTTAGCCAACCACGAGCAAGGTTGGGGCTGTATACCCCGCGCGCACACCTGTCTGACGCACTTCCAAACCTCTCCTGGTTTACTCTAGCCTGGAAAAGAGAGGAGGTGAGGACTGTGTGTGAGGCTGGCAACTTCAAAACTCAAAGTCGTGATGCTCCCTCCACTCGGAAAGCAAAAAAAAAAACAAGGAGAACACAAACGATAGCTCACCCTGTTGAAAAGTAATTACAAACCATCCAGAAGAAAAAACACAATGCGAAATTGATAACCTTAAATCAATATTAATGCTAATGAGAGATTTAAACATTCTTTTGATATATGCGTGAACACACTTCACATTGTACTGTAGTATTACACTATGCATCGGTTAATTAATTCTAAATTTAAATAAAATTCTAAAATATTTCCGATCAATCATCACACTAAAGAAGTTTCTTAAGATATGAAGTAACTGAGAACGTATTGCTTTGTTCCATTTGGTTCCAAATGGCTTTTTTAGTTGGCTCGGAGACCACCTATAAGCTTTCGTCTCCTCATCACACGATCTCCTCCAAATCATTCAAAGAGCCACTGCACCCAAGTCATCGTTCCCTATTGACGTTCCACTTGAGAGCTTTCTCGACGTGTATTATTATTGTTATTATTCCCTTGGGTTCCGAGTGGAACATAGGACTTCAACAACAACACATCCCTGCTTTGTTCTGTTTTCTGCCGTCCTCTTCAGCTGGTTCCGCGGTTGACCATAATCTCTCATCTCCTCTTCTCACGATCGCCTCCATGTCATCACCTCTGACACCAAAGCTCGCCTAGTTAACTAGCTTGCTTGTTTTCTAGCCAGTCCCAAGCCCAGGGGCTAGCAATCCCACACCACTAAACCTATCAAATCGCCAGAGAAACTTCAACGCGCAAAAAATATATTAAAAATACAAAAAATTCAAATAACAACAATCTTATTCTTCGCTCGAATCGGAGAGGCGAAATGACACAGCGGGCTGGCTGGTGAAAGCCAGCTAGCTAGCCCATGTGTCTTCTCTCGATGAAAGCAAGAAGAAGAAGAATGGGGACGTGGAATGTCCGTACAATATACGAGACTGGGCTGGGAAGGCTGCCCAGGTAGCCAAAGAAATGCGTAGATATGGCTTAGAAGCGCTGGGTATCTCTGCGAGAGCAGATGGAATGGATGTGGACTATCAAAATTGTCAACTGGAGAGTCAGTAGTTCCAATCAATGATCTCCTCAGTGTATGTCCACAACCCATTTCCACTTCCTTCTGCATATCTGTTAGACAACAGGGTCGTGGTTAGTTCCTTGAGAACACACATGAAGCCTACCTACACCCCCATATATCCTTCCTTAGCCTATTGAATTTATCAAGATACATACAGTGACAAATACGCACACTTACAGAGGGGCGATTTCATCGATCTTGTCAAACATAAAGACTACAAAAGATATTTTTTTTAAAATAAAAATTCATCAATTACATAACACACATTATCTATTGACTGACTTACCGACAAATAAACGGTGATGAGACTGACAATAGAATAAGCTTTTCACAATAAACATGCTCTTGTTGTCGTGTCTGTACAATATGCGCCTTTTGTAAGCGTTTCAAAGCGAAGGCTTGAGTTCTGTCATGGGCTAATGTCACCTGCAAAGTAATAATAATAATAAAATGTCACAAGTGAATAGTAGATAGCGGGATAAATTTGAATAATATTCAGAAAATAGAATTACGTAATCATTATTATTATTATTATTATTATTAGAAAGGATATAAAAGGCTAGTATGACATTTGACAGCTTACGCCATCATCTATGGCGTAAAAGTGACATTCGGCTACCGAACAATGGACGTCCTCTCTTTATGGCTGTTAGACATGAAGACCATTGAGAATGACAGATAGGAAAAGGCTAGTTGTCTATGGATCACATATGTTTACGTTCAATCTCCCATATTAATTGGTACAACATATATAGAGAATAATATTGAAGTTAGGCGTACAGTGTTAGGTAGAGAGGGACGTGAGTTGTGAAGATATATCGACTGAAATGACATGCCAAATCATCACCTTCCTAATTCAGTAATGTTATCTGACGTAGTAATTACACTGGAGACGAGTTAGACGTGGTCAAACCAAAAACTGTCTGTCACCAGTTCATGAATCAGATAAGTCCTGTAGTCACTTGTTATATGTAGAGATGTGACTCTGAGTCAGTGAATAGGTCTCAAGTTCGAACCCATCTCCATCTACTTCAACCTGGGCAAATGCACACAGTAAATGTGGGCCACAGCCTGATATGTCAGAAAGTCCTGTACCAAGTAAGTGAGTTCTAACAGTTTGTTATTTACCCCCCCCTCCCTAATCTTGCCTAATTTTTGACTATAAGCTTAAAATAACTATATTTTGTAGTTATCGCGTACTCATAGTACCTTTTGTATTCTCCACACTGGTTGCTAACTCTTTGAACTTATCCGTAAATCTAGTGTCTGTCAAAGTCACTCAACATCACAGTTGTAACAGTAGAAGACGAAGACTTGATATAGGATTTTCCCGTCGATTGATTGGACCGAAGTGCTCGGTCTCACTCAGGTTGACATGTCGGCAGCTTCTTGTGCAGATGCTTCGACGATGTCTGGGCATTTAATTAGAATTTAATTGGTGGATGGTGACTAGCAGTGGAATTTAGGATAAAGCGCATTTCGTCCTATTTGGGACTCGTCAGTCACTGGATGTACCTGCATTCCCCAGTGACCCGTCGCACAAGAGGTGGCTCTCGTGGCGTTTGAAACTATGGGCACTAGGTTCGAGCCTCGGTGGGAACATCATCACTCACTGGGAAATGCAGGTACATCCATCTGACGAGTCCCAAATAGGACGAAATGCGCTTTATTCTGGATTCCACTGCTAGTCACCATCCACCAATTAAATTGGTATAGGAATGTTTATTTGCAGTTTCGTTCCTCTATATGGGGAAATCATGTACACCTTATCGCCTAAAATCACCATTTGCACAGATCTTCCGTGGTGTTCTGCTACTTCTGCCCTCCCTTCGTATTGTGAGTGTTTCTTTGTGTTCCTTTCACGCTGTATCCTTTGCTTTCTCTGACATCAAATCTACCTCCCTGCTATTTGATTTTTTTATGCCAAGATGAACGTCTTTTTATATACTACTGATAAATCTTATCAGTAACACAAGCCACACAGTGAAGTGTTTTGACTTCCCGTTTGAAACAGTGAAGGTTGTCTTGTTTTCGCCTGCCTAGTGACATTTTTTTCATTGTGGTTGAAATTATTATGTGAGTAGTGATCAGAGTAGTATTGGCCAGCATATATTAGGTTCATATTGCTTAGCAGTCTGCTAGGTTGTACTAGCGGCTATATCATTACTAATATATTAATATCTAAAAATAATAATAGAGCAAGTTATATAACCCACTCGATCAAGGGTTCAAGTTCCACTCTACCTATCGAGGTTTTCTCGATAGGCCAGATAGGCCTTACACAACAGATATAGCTCATTACTTTTATTAAAAGTGAACTAAAGATGCTTGAGTCGTTATTGTTATTATTATTATTATTTTCACTGTAGATGTCATTACCAGCTAACATCAGTCAGAGAATTATTAATCGATTAACCAAAAATCGCTACAAAATCTATAATCTAAGGATCAATCTCCAGCTCATTGGTGACTGCTGGATGTATAATATTCTAAAGTTGTAACGAGAAGTCGTGGGTGGCCAATGGGATCCACCATGTCATCGTCAATAAGGATGTATTCATCAAAGACACTGGTGTACAGTAGAGGTATATCACAAATTGATAGAAGTAAGGATTCATGGGCCCTTGAATTCTAGAACAGGTGGCTACGAATGATTAACAGACTGTCCTTGTGATCTGAAGCTCTCAGGTCCGATCCTTGGTTGGGTCGTAGGTGCACGCTGTTGAATAGTCCTAAAATGGGACGAAACAAATGCACTCGCAGTACACCCTGGATTCCAATGATTCTCTAACTGGTAATGGTAGGTGACAAAACCTACATTGAAATAAACAAAATCCCTACAAATCCTTATTATTATTTAGATAAGGCAATATTCCTAAATGGCTTTAGAAGCAATTAGAATCCTCAGAACCCATTAATCAATGGTGAGAACAGACATCGACCTAGCTCCTCTATTGAGAAACATATTACAGAGGAGACAGGACATAAAATTGATGTTTACACACGTCTTTTAAACCTATCTATAAAACGTGTTTGGGATAGGGCGCATCCTAAAGTTTGTGGAAGTCCTAGTTGGCAATTAGGAAGTTTAAACCACCTTTTTATGCGATCAAAGCGTTCAACAATTCGTCATCACACTAACTAAACCTTCCTTCCTTCCTTGGTAAACTTTGTTTTGATACCAGTCAGGGTAGATGTACTATTTATTACCTCTGTTATTTGGTTTAGTGATTGATCTTCATTGTTATTTTCACCTTCAATATGTATTAAATTTATTTTCTCACCTCTTAACTCTATTAATTTCGCATATATATACATCTTCCTATGACAAGTCCGTGTGTGTGATCAGATTGTTCGAAATGTGTTGTGTGTGCAAATACACAATACACGATTCAGACAAATTACGTCTTCTTATTACTACTTTATCTAAATCCATAATGGGAACTAATTGTTTTAAATTATTATAATGGTCACTGTTGTGGTTATTGAAAACTTTATTACCCTATTTAATCATATTCATCCAAATATCCGAGTGACTTCCGAACTCGAATCGAATAACAAACTCGGTTTCCTCAATATTACAATGACCAAGAGAGATGATGGAACGATTCAGCGATATATTTTCGCGTAAACAGATATGGAGTGGACAATATCTTCATTTCACCAGTTTTGTTCCTATCCAGTATAAACGTTCCCTAGTGAAATGTTTGTTCTCAAGGGCCCGAGTGACACACTGATGGATGAGTTTCGACATATACATTCAGTTTTATTAGCTAATGGTTATCCAGAAAACTTACTTTATCAATTGTCACAGTAGTAAGGATAGACCACATCTCGAAAAGACAGCTTCTGTACCAAAGAAAGCTATGTATCTTTATTAACCTACCATTATTCAAGGGTGACCAGATTATGCAGTTGACAGCTAGCTCAAAGACTTCGGTCAGCCATCAAACGCACATTCTACGCCGCCGCCACATCTCTTTTTCTCACTTCCCGAACATTTTCCATCCCTGTACCTACACGATTAAAGGACGAAATTCTGTGGACTCTACTTCGAACTGTATCTACAAGTTCACCTGCAGCTGCGGTGACACCTATATAGCTAGAACCAACAGAATGTTCCAATGTCGTCGAAAAGAACATGTTCCAAAATGGCTACTAAATCACATAGAAAATCCCAATGCGAGTAATCTGAATAGAAATCCAGCATCATCCATTGCAAAACACTTATTAATGTCAGGTCACAAAATCAATATTAATGACTGTTTCACAATTATCTCATCACATAACTCTAATTCAAGGTTGGTTATTGAAGGTGGAAGCACTCAGGGGATTAATCACATACATTCTAAACTGTGTGTACAAAAAACAATCGACTTCAATCTTCGCCTACCATGGACTACATGACCTATCTAAATATGATTGGTCATCAGTATGTACTTTTGTTTTCTATATAACTGAGTCATGAACTTTGTTTTATTATTGTTAACCATGTTGGTTGTGTAAAGCGGTTGTGCAGAAACTACGGAATGACCATATCATCTTGCGGCGAAATTTGTCTTCTAAATGCCTTATTCAAATTTATCAAAGGCACTAATTTAATTTTAATTTTCTCAAACAGATATTTATGTGTGTTTGTGTGTGTGTTTGTGTTACATAGTTCATCATTATCAAAGTATCATGTAATTGTTTATTTATTTCTTTTTTTCATGCGAAAAAAATATCAAAAATAGTTTATCTAACAACTAAATCAATAAGTGAAGTATTTACACTCAATAAATTGTATCTTAAACTCAAATGAATCGATAATTAATTAATTAATCAGACGAATAAAGCAAATGGTTAAGTTCAACTCATCCGTGGGATAAGAGAACCAATTAGCCAAGTGAAGGTACATACTACTACTGTGATGGTGTGATACAGACAATAGGTGCCAATAGAATGTTATTCTCACGTGTTCCGACAGTTCAATGCGGCATTAGCGACAGAATACTATGTGCATAGTTGAACACTCTATTTCATGTCGTTTAATGTAAACTGAAATCACACGCTCAGTGATTAGCTAACGATATAAACTGTGTATCTGAATAAATAGAGGTTTGATTAATGAACAATATACTTTGGCTCCCGCGTCTTGCCTTCTGTTGTTGCACACATGGTGTCGCTGCCTGCTGACAAATGGAAAGCCTATGTCCTGCAGTTTTTGAAGAAGGAGATATATGGATCTTCGGGCAAGACTTCGAGGTTGTGCAGTTGAATGGCGTTCAAGATCTGTCAGCAACGAAGCTGCTATCGGGAAAGCTGCTAGGTGGCGAAACACTGGCGAATATGAGCCAGGGTCATACAAACTGCTTCCAGAGTGGGAAGGACCATAAATGGTCACCATGAGACAGTGTCACGTAAATACAATCAGAAATGCAAACAATGAGGAGCGGGTGGATGTCAGCTAGGTCCGGAACTCGACACAACAAGACAATCTAACAAAACCGCCAGTACCACGAAGATCGAACCAACTTCATTCGAAAGTTTTTGACGGCGGGGGGAACGAGTGTGGTGGTGTGATACAGACAATGGGTGCCAAAGGAATGTTATTCTCACATGTTCCCATAGTTCTCTTTCATGTCGTTTAATGTACACCAAAATCACACTCTCAGTGATTGGTTAACGAATATAAACTGTATTAGATATATAAACAGCGGCTGGATTAGTGTAAAATATACCTTGGCTTCCGTGTCTTGCTTTCTGCTGTTATACTACTACTACAACCGATGGATCTGTTTGAGTAATTGAATACCTCCCACATCAACCAGTAGTGTACTAACCAGCCAGCCAGCGAAACAGATCATCGAAGTGATCTAAACACTGAAAAGCCATTTCACTCGGTGACAGGCAGAACTCATCAGTGGTGTATCCGGTTTGATTCAGCTTAGAGCACCGACTCAGTTGAAACTACCCGAATTCTGAATAACAGCAAGAAGATCTTCAAGTATTGGTTTTGTAGGGATTTTGCTTGTTTGATTGGTTGGAGGATTTCATCATGATGAGCTGACATCGGTTGGTTAGAGGACCATTGGAAAACCAGCACTGGAGTACTGGACAACCAACTGTTTAGTCAGACTAGTTTGGGACTCTTCATCAGTACACACCCACCACCAGTGTTCGAAAGCAGGACCTTCTGGTTATGACGGGTGATATTCTTAATTGTGGTGGGCTGAATGGATTATGCGTCAGACTGTGCGTTGGGAGTGAGGAGTCAGGAATACGTTGGACGACCGATAAGAAGACTCTAGAAGATCTGGATTTCGCGCGTGGATGATTTATGTCTAATGTCACACAAACTCGAAGACTTGCAAGAGAAAACCAACAAACTGTCTGAAGAAGCAGAGAAGACAGGGCACCAGGTGAACAAAGAGAAGACAGAGGTGATGAAAATAACCAATCAACAGCAACAACAACCAGCACCAATCACCTTCAACGGGAGAGATTTAACAGAGGTTACCTCCCACCTTCACTTATCTAGGCAGACAGCATCGTTTCAACTACAGGTGACAGCACGGAAGAAGATGTCAAAGCCAGCCAGCCACAATCGGAAAGGCAAGATACACCTTCATCAACCTGAAACCAATTTGGAAATCTTCTACACTCAACATAAGGAACAAGATTCGGATTTTCAACACAAATGTCAAGTCAGTTCTTCTATATACAGGTCAGAAACTTGGCCAGCGTGTCACGAAAAGCATTTCCAACAGGCCAGTGCAGACTTTCATCAACAGCTGCCCACTTCGCTGGCTCCATACTGAAGATCAAATGGCTGGCTGGCCAGAAAGAATTAGTAACAAGAAACTCTGGTGATGAACAAACCAACCGAGCAAGAGCCGATCGCTCAACAAATATGTCGGCGAAAAAGCAGATGGATAGGGAACACGTTGAAGAGACCGTCGAACGACATCGCACGCCAGGCCATAGCTCGAGTGGAATCCAAATGGGAAGCGACGAGTGGGTCGTTAGTGCGAGGGTGACATGGAGGAGATCGTGTCAGGAAGAAATTGGACCCAGCTGAAGAGGACGGCAGAAAACAGAACAAAGTGGAAATGTGTTGTTGAAGCCCTATGTTCCACTCGGAAGGCAAGGGAATAATAAATAAAAGAAGGAGGCAAACTCAGTTTATTTGATCAATGAATGAGCCTGCATGATCTCGTACTCTAATTCACAGATGAACTGATGTCAAGGTGAGTATAAGAGTCGTTTCAAACAATAAAACGCAACACACATAGTGTATAGAAAAACTTACCAGATCTACTCGACCAAAACCGCCAACACCCAATACGCATATACGTTCTAAATCTTTTAATTGTATATTACATTGTATCTTGGGTGTAAGTGCTAAACTTGCAGGCAGTAATGATTTCCCTGTGGTTGCATGTAATCCATCTTGACTTTTTGTTGTAGAAGCTAAATCTAACATTTTTGTTGAATCTTTTATATCTGGACCAGAGGATAATTTTTTCGATAATGACCTAGAAAGAATTTGATAAAAAAAGGAGAGAGGAAAACGGAAATTTTTATTTTTTCTTTTAAATAAATAAGTATATGAGTGTAAATGAATTAACAAGCGAGTGTGTTGGCCAACCATGTGCTGGACGTGGTCCGGGGTTCGAGTCCCGGCCACTGGACGCACACCGTTACCTTCCTCCCTTAGCCGGTTATAATTGCGACAGAGAGGGGAGATTGGGCGTGAGGTTAGCAATCCCACCCCGTAAAAAAAGTAGCGGTGCTACTGGAACTCCATATACTCCAGCTTGAAGCCCTATGTTCCACACCAGAAACCGACTAATTTATACAAAAGGGTTGATGAAGACGAGAAAAACGGTATGAGAAGAATGAATCCATCCTCAAAACAAAAACGAAAATTTATCATTTCATACATACCACGAATCGGTAGAAGTTGTAATTCATGGGTTATTCAAGTAGCTGAATAATCTACAAGCTAACTCAGGACGACCTGGGTTCGAACACCAGTGAGTGGTAGGTACTACTGAAGGGTAAATCCCAAATTAAGCTGACGAAAAATAGCTCTCCAGTACTCCTTTGACAACAAGACTTGACAACCAGTTCCCTTGTTGTTGTTGTTGTTGTTTTTTCACTTCCCCACCATCACTTCTCGAATGCTATGTCATCCTTTATGGCTGGCTGTGAGAGAGACAAGGTCCCCATTGAAAGTTGAAGATACGAAATGCCTGTCTGCATTCTATCTCCGGTGTGTTTTAGGTGTTATAATAAGGTTAGACCACAGTTGAGTGCTACGTCAGTTGGAGGGGAAATGAATCGGCGACGTTGTGAAGTTACACGGATTGAGACAGATGGTTAGAACATGTGTTACACTTGCCCAGCCTAGTCTGGCCATCGCCTTCCTCAACAACGGACAATATTAGCCACCGACATAGGATGGATCAGATTGGAAAAGAGTGAGCTAGTGGTGGTCAAATCAAAACAAAGCTTCATCAGTCAATCAAATCCACAACAGTTAGTTTAAGTCAGACCAGACAGCCAAGTAGGGAGGTGTAGACTTCCTGACTGGCTAGTTAGAGTCCTCGCGATGACGGTAAGGAACAATGGCGGTGGCTGGAGACAATTGGTGATATGGCTCAAAATCTCTTTTTACTCTCTTCTCTTGGTTTATGTGCTACACATGGAGGGAGAGTGGCAACTAGATGGAACTGCTGCACATCTGTGCAAAGTATCACTGAGTGAATTTTCCTCTATGATGAAATTCTTGGTATTAGATGGTTGGAGGCAATCCAGCCAGAGTAAGCCTCACCCAACCTAGGTTTCGTGCTAGTTAACACCCACCATCACCACCAGTCAACAAGGCGTATATCTGCTACCGCCTTGAAGGAACCTCAAGTCCCGAGTCATCCAGTGCCGCCTGCAGTCAAAGACGACGTTACTACTGAATTATTCAGGTCCGCAGCAGTACCCAATTCAACCCTAAAAACACAACTTAACTGCAGCATGCATGAAACATCTATTTCATATCATTTCTGATTTCTGAGATTTCTAACTATTTCAAAGAGATATTATGTATTTATATATATCGAGTTAATTAAATAAAAAACCAATTTCGTGTGAGAATAACCGTCATACAACCATCAGTTAAATGCTTAGATACATATATATATATATATATATATATATATATATATGAATATATGAATTTTTCTCTCCTCATGAAGAAATAATGACCACCTGTGGGGAGAGTAGGAAAATTGACTTTCATTTGATGGCTGTTTGTTTTTTTCTCATGTGAATTTTGAATACCATTCATTAGTGTTATATTCAAATAATGCTGTATGCACATTCTTGGAAATTTAAAGGATATATATATATATGCATATATATGGTTACAGTTATTTAACCATCTCACTCCAACCAACCAACCACACACACACAATACAACACACACACTCAAAAACACGCAACAGACGCAGATCTACTGTCCACACACGGATGATAAATAATAAATAAATAAATACATATATCAATTCGTTATTATGCTGTTTTTTTTTTAGAGAAAATAAAAACTTTGATGAGGTTTTCCCATCTTTCTTCCAAAATAATATTAATGTTATCCTCTCTCCGTTTCTGTCGCTATCTCTCTCTCTCGCTCTCTCGATTATAAAGTCAAAATATCCTCAGGGTGAAAGTGAAACTAAGGGGCGGGGGAAAGTGGAGAGGCTAAATGCGGAGAAGAGGAAGCTTCATAAGAAGGAGAAGAATGTGAAGGAGAAGAAGCAGAAGACGCCAGCCTGATTGGATGTCATTAATAATAATAATAATATCACATAGAATAAAATCGATATTATTTATTGGTCTTCAACAGGTATTTTGGTTATTTTTAATGTCTCAATACTGGAACACCAATATACTCTGGGAAAATACTTTAAGGAAAAAAAACAAAAAAAACAACTGATTGAATCTAAGAATCAGAGAATAGAAGAAGGCAGAGAAAAAGACAAAAAAAAACAACAAGATGGGCATTCTTTCTTATGAAGGTGGTGTAGGTAGTGGTGCCCATAAGATGTACACACCACTCGCGTCAAGCTGCAGTAGTGCTGGCTATATCCATATCGTAGTGATCTTTTGGCGCCGAGTCCATCAGTAGTGATGTGACTGGTGATTGGCTCAGTACAGAGGGTTGAATTAGTTCAATAAACCATTCTAATAAAAATATCTATTGTTCTTCAATATTAGTATTCTTACTGCCTCCCTCCCTCCCTTCTGTTTATTATCTCTCTCTCTCTCCCTCTCTGTTTTGAATCTCTTTTTACTCTCTTGTCTTGGTTTGTGTGCTACACATGGAGGGAGAGTGGCTGCACATCTGTGCAAAGTATCACTGAGTGAAATTTCCTCTATGATTGAATTGTTGGTGTTAGATAGCTGGAGGCCATCCAGACACAGGAACGTCCATCTGACCTACGTTTCATGCTAGTTGACACCACCACCACCACCAGTCAACAAGGCGTATCTGCTACCGCCTTGAAGGAACTCATGTCCCGAGTCATCCAGTGCCGCCTGCAGTCAGAGACGACGTTACTACTGAGTTATTCAGGCTCGCGATTGACCTACCTCTACCGCAGCAGTACCCAATTCAACCTGAAAAACACAACGTTAACTGGATGATGAGTGATCACCACCACCAACATCATCATCATCAGACTTCATAGTCTGCAGCATGCATAAAACATCTATTCCATATTATTGACTTCTGAGATTTCTCAGTAGTGATCTTTTGGTGCCGAGTCCATCAGTAGTGATGTGACTGGTCTGACTCAATTCAGAGGTTTGAATTAGTTCAATAAACCATTAGCGGTAAGGACGCTCGCCGACCATGCACATGGTCTGGGGTTCGATCGCCGGCCCACGCACTCCTTTACTTCTCTAAGCCAGTAATAAGACTGGTAAAGAGGAAAGGTTGGGCGTGAGACTAGCAACCCCATCCTGTAAAATAGACACTGCTACAGAAACTTCAAGCCACTAGCTTGAAGCCCTATGTTCCACTGGGGAACGTGAAGGAAAAAAAACAGTTCGAGACCACAATATGTCATCTACTGAATTGAATACCGTTAAAACTGGTAATTAAGAAAGCAAGCATAAATGCATAAAAGTTTTGTGCTAGTGTTTAATTGGCATGTATAGTTGAATACCATCCACATCAATCAGTAGTAGGAGGAGGAGCAGGAGGAGTAGTACCTCATCAAGAACTGTATAATTTGTAAATTGTAGATTTGATTTAAGCTGAAGATATGTTGTCCAAAAGGATAAAATGAATAATGTCCGTGTAGAACTTGGGCAGGCACTGGGATAGAATGTAATTCCATACTGAATAAGTTTATTTTAAATATCATACAAAGTGATGATGCAGTATTATTAACAACTGGATGACAAGGTTTCGAGCATCAATTATTTTCTTTTTTTCATTCCTTTACGTTCCCAGTGGTGGGACACATAGGACGGCTTCAAGCTAGAGGCTTGAAGTTTCTGTAGCAGTGGTGATGTTTATTTTATACGGGATAAGGTTGCTAGCCAGACTCCTACCTAGCTAACCTTCCCTCTTTACCAGTCTTATTATTTACTGGCTTAGTGAGGTAAAGGAGTGCGTTGTCCAGTAGCCAGGGATTGAACTCAGGACCATCTGTGTGGTTGGCGAGCATTCTAATGCTGTGGTTTTTACCGTCCCGAGGACCCCCAACCAGCCAGTCAGGAAGTATACAACTTCCTACGTGTCTAGTTTAAACTAACTGTTGTCGATTAAATTGACTGATAAGGCCATGTTTCGGTTTGACTACCACTAGCTAACTCTTTCCCAACTTGATCCATCCTGTGTCAGCTAACATTGCCTGTTGTCGAGGAAGGCGATGAATAGGCATGCGTAACACATGTCCTAACCATCTCAGTCGGCGTAACTTCACAGCCTCGTCAATTGATTTCCCCTCCAATTCACCTAGCACTCGACTGAGGCCTAACCTCAATATTGCTCACCTTGTTATACCACCCAAAACGGAAGATAGAACGCAGGCAGACACCTATGATCAAAGACATCTAGCTAGCTAGCCAGGCTTTTCATGTCTTCCACTCTAAATTACCAGGTCTCACATGCCTAACCATCGCCTCCCCTGACGGACGGGCATTACTAGCTGATATAGGTGCAGGTTGGAAAAGAGTAAGTGGTGGCCAAACAAAAACATGGCATCAATCCATGAAATCCTTGACAGTTAAACTGAGTTAGTTAGGGAGATGCAGACTTCCGGGTTGGGGCTCGCCCTCGGGACTCTAAGAATCAATGGCTGGAGACAATAGGTGACATGGTTCAAAATCATAGTCAATGGCTTACGCAGATGTATTCAGTCTCTGTAATCTTTCATATCCCTTTCTATGATTACTCATTCTGTTTCACTCTTATACTTGTCAAAACTCTATTGATTGTCCTCACTCATTTTCTTGTCTACGTTTGTGTGCTATTTGGAACGTGGCAACTGGAACTGCTGCACTTTGGTGCCAAGTTCTATGTTGAATCCAGACAGATAGATGACCAGGTCTCACAGCCATAAAGGAGGACGGAGCGAAGTAACTCCTGAGCAGTACACACGCCCTTTGGTTGATAGTTGGACATCAAGTCTGCGCCAGAGACGGTGTATACAACTACTCATCTCAGTCGATCAGTAGCACATAGTTTTATGCATTTATGCTTGCTTTATTGATTACCACTTAGGGTGTTAAGCAGATCAAAAAATATTGTGATATTGCGAATAATTTCGGTTCCCAGAGGTAATACACCATGATGATGAAATTTCACGTTGTCGAACAGTGTAAAAATTTTCAAAAGAATAGACACGGAACAAAGAGTACTCTTTTCGATAAATTCATCATCAGGTTCCACAATTATATATACATTATAATGAATGAATTAGTCTTATGAACGACATTAATGTTGTTTAAATAACATCAAATCAATAGTATTGATAGATTACAGCTGAACAACATCAACATAAAATAAACTGAATGTCAGAAGAATTAGGAAATATAATATTACAAATTCATGAATTTATAGTCTCTACTGAAAGCTGGCCAGGGCAGTAGTAGGGGCTGGCTGGACTTGTTTCTTTTGAACACAGAGCACTGGTTGTTTGAGGCGAATCGCAATAGCCTCTACTGTTTTGGAGCATGCGGTGCTTCGACGATTTTGGCAATTTATTAGGTACCCGGTAGATGATAGAGAAGGATTCTTCTACACTGGCTTTGTGACCGGTTTGCACCAGATGGTCTAATATCGAGCTGTTAATAGTTTTAACTACACCTTTACTTAGCCATAGTGGGAGATGTTCTCGAGCCAGCACGAAAAATCAAGTTCCTAGAACAACGGCCGATATAACTCTCTCCACCAGAAGCGCAGTTGAATTGGTAGATACAATTTGAAGTGGCTAGCTAATCTAGGTACTTCATCTTTCAGTCGACGTGGCACCATCGGTGGTGTAGAGAATAAGACGTGTAGTTCGCCAGCATTAAAAGTTCTTTGAACTGATTTTCCTAATTTCTTCGTAAATATCTCGCTTGGTATATCGCGAGACGTTCATAAGACTAATTCATTCATTATAATGTATATATAATTGTAGAACCTGATGATGAATTTATCTAAAAGAGTACTCTTTGTTCCGTGTCTATTCTTTTGAGAATTTTAATGGGCATTTTTAATCAGTGTAAAAATTGCTAATCACAAATCTGGTCTACATATATGTATGGATGGACCATATTCACCTGCCACTTTCAACTTCATTAATGTCATTTGTATTTCAGGTCTTTTATAGATAGAAAAACATTCATTCATATAAGAATAAAAAATCAATTTAGAGCGATTAATTATTTAATTAATTAATTAATTCTCTTAATGAATTCCCAGTGAGACAATAAAAAGACGTCATTTATCTATCTGCAATGCACAACACACACGCACACAACACATAAAGGGACAAATATTTTTCCTATCACAATAAAGGGCAGAATGTTTACGGGTCAAGATCAAAGAAAAACCGGTATGTGTGTTTGTGTGTGTTGGGGCGGGGGAGGGTGGACGTTGAATATACGACAACCTTATATAAACCTCGGTTTTCTCAAAGCGATTGGATTAACAAAGCCAGTATCAAAGTGATAAAACAATTTGAATATATATTTGAATGCATAAAACAGCTATAAGCCTTTTTCAGGACTAAATCAACCAACGAATTTCAGTATATGACCCAAACCCTAAAAAAAGGCAGTTTATCTATAAATTTCCACAAGGAGTGGATGCATCTGCGCCAGCCATTGAGAACGATTTTGAGCCATATCAACAATTGTCTCCAGGCTTCATCGGTTTTTACCGTCCCGGGGACCCCAACCAGGAAGTTTACACCTTCCTACGTGGTTTAAACTAACTATTGTGAATTTCATGGACTGATGAGGCCATGTTTCAGTTTGACCACACCACTTGTGTCACCTAACATTGCCCGTCGAAGAAGGCAATTGCTAGGTATAGGTATGCGTAAAACATTTTCTAACCATCTTTCTCAATCCGTGTTGTTGCTTCACAGCCTCATCGATTGATTTCCCCTCCAATTCACCTAGCACTCGACAGAGGCCTAACCTCAATATTACTCAGCGTATTATACTACCTAGCACACACGGAAGACAGAACGCAGACAGACACCTGTGATCAAAGACAGCTAGCTAGCTAGCCAGGCTTTTCATGTCTTCCATTCTCAATGGCCACGTTTCACAGCCATAAAGGAGGACGGAGCGAAATGCTGAACCGGAGCAGTACACACGCGCTTTGGTCAATAGCCAGACAGCCAGATATCACGTCTACGCCAGAGACGGCGTAAACTTGTCAGAGATCAACCCGTTGGCGTTGGCTGATGCAACTTCCCAAATAAGTGAAGTGGTCAACACGCTCCACTGACCACTTCACTCCCTATTTCTAAGCTAGGAGTCAATGTAGTCCAGTCCTGTATCATCATCTTACATTTGGCGGCCTGGGCGAATCTCATGCCAAACATTTGCAGATTCTAGCTAAAGGTGTTCAGAAGACTCAGCCGCATTTGGTCAGCGTCTTCACTTCACCTAGAAGGACTATATCATCTGCATATTCTAAGTGAACGAGACTACTGTTCCCTGGTAACAAGTCAATCCCTGAGTCGCTGAAGTCACTTAGGGTTAATTACATTAGTACATCTATGATGAAATTGAATAGAAATGGGGATAGTGGGCATCGCTGACACGGACATCACTAGTTGTCACCTGTTCAGATGACAACTCACCGTCATTACACCTTGTCAAAATTCAGAACACAGGCTGAAAAACTACTGCAATAGGAGGATTTCATCACATAAGTAAACACATATTACTCTTTATTCTTTTTTTACTGATACAAAACTCCAATAAGTAGAAAATTTAACACTTATCTCCTCCTCCTATTCAGTAGAGAGACTTACCCATGACTAAGTAGACGTGTTTCTTCATCAGCGTATTCCTTGTTTTTCAACTCTTGTATATCACCAATCAATTCTAAGAAGTCCCTAAAAAATAAAAATAAAAAGACAAAATAAAAAGAAAAGATAATTTTGAATTTCAATCACTTATGTGTGTTATACGTCATGCTAACTGACTGACTGACTGGCTGACTCACTAAGTTTCAACAGAGAACTCTGCATAAAAGTGCACCAGTTCAAGTTACCAAATTCCGTGTACCACACAGTGGTAGACAGGAGAGAGTCTAGAGAACTATAATAATAATCCTGATAAACCCTCATGATACGTATCGAGGAGATGTCATGAGGTGGAAATCGTGAAATCCTTTAAAATTATCAATAGACAAAGAAGCTCGATTCTCCTCAAGTTTGCCGAAGCAATTTCTATCAAACGCTTGAACCAAACCAGATTTATGTGTTCAGAAAGAAGCAGTTATTAGTCTTTCCTTGCCCTGCCTGGTAACTGGATCTCTTTATCCTGTCTCTCTTTCATTTGATTACGCAATCTTTGGCTTTAACCTCACCCCTCTCACTTTGATATAGTGTAATTTTGCTTGTCTCTTGTTTCTATGATTTGAGTTGAACTCAGTACATTGTTACCTAATTTATTAGTCACTCAGCATCTTACGCATCTCTCGTCTTTATTACGTAACTCCTTTACCATTGTATGCATACATTTATTTTTGTTTAAACTTGAACTGCCTGTGTAAAAACTATATAAGCGCAATTTTCTGAGCACTGTTCACTAATTGCGGAACTTTCTGTGAACTGACATCATGAGGAAAAACAAATTTGCAAGTATGTTAGAACTTTTCTGTATACTTGCTTCATATAATAATATTGAAGTTTATTTCGAGCCCCCTCATTCTCTAGAGACAGATTTAGTGAGTGACTGTCAAAGATATGGTTCCCAAAATGACACAACTGTGTCTATAGGATAAAGTGTTCAGAATGTGAAGCTTGCTAAACAGGGGAGAGCAGTAGACAGGTGAAGGTCAGAGTGAATGAACACAGGCTGTGCTCACGAAACCTCCACCTAGAAATGATGAAGTAGAATTAAAAAGTCTAGAGAAAAGATCAGCTATAGCAATGCATGCTATAGACATTGGACATAAGATTGATTTCGACAAAATAGAAATTCTAGGAAGAGGCTTTCATTCATTCACAATGCATGAAGAGAGGCTGACTCCTGAAACCAGTCCTGTCTATTTCAACCACATCGAATGTAGTGAATAGGAGAGAAGGGGATAAACTTATCACCTATATGGCAAACTCTAATTCAGCAAGAGAGATGAGAAAAAATCAAATTCAATCCTATATTATGACCGTATTATGAAATATTATCATGTTTTGATGTGTTTTCCACTTAACAAACAACATACACACACACACTCATACAGACATATACGTAAATATGACAATTAGACATTAATTTTCAATAGCTGGTTTGTAAGGATAGGACTTGCTTCAGGACGGAGTTTCCTGTTCTAGTAAGTTCTAGTGAGAAGTCGTGACCAGTGAGGTCCATCCAGTCAAGTATGAGGATGGATGTCCCACCGATGACATTGGTTGATGCTGGTCGCGCTAAATCAGGAATTGGTAGAAATTAGAATTCATGGGCTAGCCATTGAATTGGGTCCCAGTGGCTGAATAGTCTACGAGCTAACTTGCCATGTAACCGGAAGGCCCTGGGTTCGAACTCCAGTGGGTGCGTACTGCCGATAATTCCCAGTACTCCAGTGCTGGTTTTCAATGGTTCTCTAACTGATATCCATCCGTGATCGACTAGTAAAAATTAGACATTAGTCATTACAAATATGTGATTATGACTGTTTATACATTTTTCTATTGGTACAAATGTCTACCGACAAGTGACCTTCAGAGGAACCCACTTCAATTTAGGTAGTTTTTGACGGTATATTTTGAAAAGGAGAAGACGTTCAGCGAAGAGACTCTTTTCGATGGCGAGTTCATTCACATAGCTGTACAATCGCATTTATATACAATTAGTTGTGTGTGTGTGTGTACATGAGGTTTGTCAAATTTAGATAATTAATTAGGTAATAGAAGAATGATCTAATATAAAAACAAGGTTGATTAGACAGCAACTAAAGTAAGATTGAGTTAGTAAGTTAGATGACGAATAATTCTGTTGAAGAAGAACCTGTGACTTACACAGCGAAACGTTCAGAAGCAGTCTTGTTTTGATTTTGCTGTTCTTAAACACGCCGAGATTATTCTAAATAATTTATAAACTGGGTATTACTCACTCTAACATACCATTTAACAGAAGAGATAGAATGCACACACATCTCTGACCAAAGACAATCAGCCTTTTCATATCGTTCACTTTCAGTGGCAATGTCTCTCTCACAACCATAAAGGAGGATATAGTGAACTACTGAACAGTACACACGTCTATTTTTCGATAGCCGGATACCGTGTCTACTCCAGAGATGATGTCAGGTGTCAAGTGCCCCACAGGAGCCTTTTTTGTTTATCCGAGCTGAATTTCTCCATTGGGGCTGATGCAAATTGTCGAATAAGTGAAGTGAAGTGGTCAACACACTACCCCTTCACACATTTTCTTTAAGCTACCAACTGGTGTAGTCCAGTCCTCCAGCATTATCTTACATTCAACAGGAATGAATCACATGTTAAATATTCAAAGAATCCCACTGAAGGTGTTCAGGAGACTACATTTTGTTAGCGTCTTTACATTTAGGAGGACAATATCATCCGCATACTCTAAAGTTGACGAGATTGCTCCCAAGTAACGAATGAGTCAACCTAGGTCGCTAAAGTCAATCAGGGGCAAAGTTAAACTTTAAGCGCCAATAACTACCATCAATCACCGAATGACCTCGAACGCACCAATCACGTGAAGGAGACATTTTTGTGTATGGAATACATGTATTTATGGAAAAAATGCATAAAAACTGTAGAAAAGTGTTACGGAGGATACCTTCCTCTCACATGTGATAAAAATAGCTCTCAGTTTTAGGTTGGAGTATCAACAGAGCATAAATTCCATTGTGGGTAAAATTTATTTTGATAAAGTCTCACAGTGTTATTCAGTAATATTTACTGGGCCATACACTGTGCTCGAAACGTCATCAATAAATATTACTGTATTACCCACAATGGAATTATACTCTACCATCACAGTGCACAAGTTCTATTCTTATATCAACAAAGTAATTTAACCACATTCTATGCATGTAATTATTTTGGTCTCCTAACTCTGACAATAACCTTAATCTTTCCTGAACCTAACCCTAAAGTGAAAATATCCCTAAACCATCAACGGGAGGGATTTGAAAGAGGTTACTTCATTCACTTATCTAGGGAGCATTGTCTCAACTACAAGAGGAACAGACGAGGATGTCAAATCGAGAATCGGAAAGGCGAGAAACACATTCATCAACCTGAAACCAATCTGGAAATCTTCGTCACTCAGCTTGTATCAACAACAAAATTCGGATTTTCAATACAAACGTCAAATCAGTCAGTTCTTCCATACGGATCAGAAACCTAGCGGCGGGTCACAAAGAACATTTCCAACAGCCTGTTGCAGACCTTTATCAACAACAACTGTCTTCGTTCTATACTCAAGATCAGATGGCCGCCGGAAAGAATCACCAACAAGAAACTATGGGAACAAACAAAACAAGAACCAATCGCCCCAACAAATATGCAGGAGAAAGTGGAGATGGATTGGACACTCGCTGAGGAGGAGGCCGCTGGGTGACATCGCGTGTCAGGCCAGTGCTCGAGTGGAATCCGAAAGGGAAGCGGCGAGTGGGATGTCCAAGGGTGACATGGAGGAGATCGTGTGAAGAAGAGTTGAAACAGTATGGACTAACATGGATGCAGGTGAAAAGTACAGCAGAAGACAGAAGCAAGTGGAGACGTGTAGTTGAAGCCCTATGTTCCACTAGGAACCTAAGGGAACAATAATAATAATAAATAACTGTAATCTAACTCGAACCAACCCTAATGTCGCCTTTATTAGGTTAACCTAACCCTAACTTGTCCTTGGCTTAAAGCGTGACTTAATCTTTCCCAAACCTAAGCTGAAACTTGCCAGATATCCCATTTAATAGATAACATAACACTTCACTGAGCATATTTTACTGATGATGACATTATTTGCCAGGTTTCACTAACTTGCTCGGTGAGTATTTCAAGGTCATTGGTGCGGTCGCACTCCATTGGTAGTTAGTTAGTTAGTGGGGCTTAAAGTTTAACTTGGCCCAATCAGGGTCGATTCAATGAATACACCTGAGATGAAATTCAACAGGAATGGGGACAATGGAAAACACGACCTACAATCTTTAACTACATAATGCATTGCGTTAAGTGGTCAAGAAAATCTCAGTGATGATAATATCTCTGACTGCAGAACAAAAAGATGTGGATTCTAATATCCGACTGCCTACAACGGTAAATCGCCTAGTTTGTTGAGCATATTACAAACACCATTGACAAGATCCAGTCAGGACTAAGTCTAAGTAAGGACTAGGTGCACGACACACACACACACACACGAGACACTTATAACCTTCCAGGGACTTATGCAGTGTATACTGTAGGTATTTTGATATGGTTGTGTTCTCTGAGCTGGATGGCTAATTTGCGAAGCTTTCATCGCCCTACTAGGCGACATCTTCAGCGCATACTTCAATTCGTTGAAGTGAGCTTTTAGGTTTCTCCACGAGTTTATTAATCCTCTCTCCTGGTGACCTTGGACGTGATTGGTTGTTTTCGTGTGTTTTCACACCTTCTAGGTTATTTTTATTGTAATTCATTGTTTCTTTGACTTGAACTTTGACTCTTTGTGTGTGAGGTTACTTTCTTATCGGTTGATAAATTTTGTCTATCTCGATGTGTCTATTGATTGATGATTCACTGGAATGCTAAGCTTCTAAAAATTCTCTAGCATTCTTGTTGTTTCCTCTGTCTAATACTTGAACACTGGTTGTCCCACGAATTGATGTCCGTGGTTGTCTGTATGCAGTGAGGCGATATGAGGGAGTGGATGTCAT